CCATTCCGTGACCTGAAGCATCCGTCTGAATTTCAAAAGGAAGTGTAAAGTTTGGGACTGCAAGTACGGGAACTGTAGTGATAACTTCCTTGAGTCTATCAAATGCCCTTTGAGCTCCCTCATTCCAACGGGACGCATCCTTTTTTAGCAAATCAGTAAGTGGCTGTGCAATACTGCCATATCCCTTGACGAACCTCCTGTAATACCCGGTGAGACCTAAAAACCCCCGTAACCCTTTCACATTGGTCGACAAAGGCCATTTAATCATTGCCTCAATTTTGTGTGGATCAGCTTCCACTCCCTGCGCTGAAATTATGTGGCCTAGGTAGTCCAGCTTCCGCTGACCGAATAGACACTTCTTCCTGTTCATTACCAGATTGTTGTCCTGCAGAATCTTAAGGGCCTGTTCAAGATGGAACACATGAGAATCAAGATCAGGACTGTAAATCAGAATGTCATCGAAGAAAACCAACACAAACTTCCTCAAAACAGGTTTAAAAATGGTATTCATCAGTGCTTGAAAGGTTGATGGCGCATTAGTTAAACCAAATGGCATTACTAAGAACTCGTAATGCTCGTCATGAGTTTGGAAGGCTGTTTTGTGAATATCCTCCTCTTTCACTCGAATCTGATGGTAACCCGATCGTAGATCAATCTTTGAAAAAAACACAGCCCCAGCTAGTGCATCCAGCAACTCCTTAATGGTGGGTATAGGGAATTTATTGAGAATAGTTATCTCATTGATTGCCCTATAATCAACACAAAACCTCCAGCTCCCATCCTTTTTTTTGACTAATAATACTGGGCTGGCAAAAGGGCTAGTGCTAGGCTGGATGATTCCTGCTACCAACATTTCTCCCACCATTTTCTCTATTTCATTTTTCTGGAAATAGGGGTATCTATAAGGGCGTATATTGGGTGGTCGAGCTCCTGCCTTCAGGACTATGGCATGGTCATGCTGACAGTGTGGGGGTAGTTTAGTAGGTTGGTCAAACATTTGGTTACAACCTTCTAGTAATGTCAAAATCCTAGGATTGGTGGGTTCCTTGTCTGATTCTGGCTCTCCCTCCATAGAGCAAAATTCGACTAAATAACCTCCTCCCGAGGATTGGAGTGATCTTAACATGGCCCTCAGAGATACCACCGTCTTCACCAAAGATGGATCTCCCTGTAAGTTAACCCTTCTGTCTTCCCATTCGAATTTCATTGTTAGGTTTTTCCAGTTTGCACAGACATCATCCAAGGAGCTCAACCAAGTCACCCCTAAGACAACATCAACTCCTCCCAAGTCAAAAGGGAAGAAATCCTGTGTAATCCTGACACCTTGAACTTCCAGTGGTACTGCCTTACAAACTCCTTCTCCTCTCATCGTGACACCATGACCAACCATTACTCCAAACTTTTTTCTTGTTTCAATTTGCATGCCCAATTTGCGCACCAAGTCGTAAGAAATAAAATTGTGGGATGCCCCATTGTCAACCAACACAATAACTCCCACTCCTTCAATCTCCCCTTTTATTTTCAGAGTTTTGTTAGAGGTGATTCCCACGATTGAATTCATGGATAGTGCCAGAGGATTACCTTCAGTATTGGGCTCTTCGTCATTATCTGGAACTGTTTCACCTTCTCTGGATCCTCATCTTCCCATGCTAACAGGATCTGTAGAGATTTGCTCTTACATCGGTGGTTAGGGCTGAATTTTTCGTCACACCTAAAGCAAAGCCCCTTCTCTCTTCTGAGTTGAATTTCTGCTTCTGTTAGACGATGAAAGTTCTCGCCTTTGGAGCTCGAAGCTGTCGTCGATGGAGGTATTTCTCTTCTGTCGCTGCATGTTGTTGACGCAAAGTGACTCTCGCCTAGGTTTTTGGTTGTGTTGAACCATAAATTGGGTCGCCCACTTTCTGGGCTTGGTGTGACCCGTGAATAACCTTCCACTTTAATGTTTTGGGCCTTAGTAAGCTTGGGCCTACTTTTCTCTAGCACTACGCAACTCAGCCCTGATTTCCTTTTTTTATCCATTGATAAAGATTCCTATCAACATCTCGTCTCCTATTTCCTTCAACGGAGCTGTATGAGCTTCAAATTCTTCACGGTACTCTATCACCGACGCAGTCTGCCTTAGTGCTACTAATGCCTCATAGGCTGTTCCCTGAAATGATGGTCTGAACCTGTCAATTAGAGCCACTTTAAAATCCTTCCAACTCTGGACTGGTCTTCGGGATTCCAACCATTGATACCAGTTTAAGGCTCTTCCTTCCATGCACATGGCTGCTGCCTGCACCATCTCCTTCTCTTCGTAACGATTAATGGCGAAATATCTGTCAGCCTTGAAAGTCCAGCCAAACAGATCATCCTTGTTAAAAATGGGTTGCTCGAGCTTGCGAATTTTTTTGTCGTCTTTCCCACTCTCCCCACTGTGATTTCGTTCACATCCTTTATCTCCGCTGGAATTCTGATTTTCTAGAGTTTCAGACATTTTCTCTTGGTAACGTTTTTCCTCCCTTTCTTCCCTTAGCCTCATCAGTTCTCTCATCTCTATTAAGTATTCCTTGACACTACCCAAATCAGTTTTTATTATGCCCATATCTTCCTTTACATTCCTCATCTCCTTTTCCACATTTTCCATTCTATTCTCCATTTTGGACTTTACCATTACCCAACCAGGCTCTGATACCAAATTGATGGAACCACCTGCTCAAATAACTCAATTCCAACACACACACACAAGAGCCGAATGGAAATAACACTCAAATGTGTTAAACTGAAAGTTAGTATTGAAACAGAATGAAAATAACAGTAGCAAGAAAAGTGATCCCAGAACAATTCCCAGCAATTCGAGGAGCTGGAGACCTCCCACAAAACCTATATGAATCAACTTGATACCTCCTTTACCACACCCTAGCTATTTATACCCAATTAGTTCCTATACTACCCTTACCCTAACAACTTTATTCTATCCAGCCACATGCATGAGAATCCCGTAACAAACTGTAACAACCTTCACACACACTCTTTTCCCCTTGCTGTAACAACCATCACTCACGCCCCTTTCCTTTTAGTGCTCCCTTTTTATGCCCCCTTGACTTATAGACTATATTGACAGGAGGTCTATCACTATATAATTAGTTTACCTCTACATTTTTCTTTTTCAACTAAATTAACATGAGTTTAATTAATTTTTTTTTTCACATATTGTCTTAATTAAAATTCTTACGAAGGAAAATAAATTAAACATATTATAATTAATTCTTTTAAGAAACATAAAATAAGAGTAAATGCACACTTACCATATTTTTCAATGTCTTTTATACATGAATTACATCCACTCACTTCTACTTCATGTAATTCGGGTGTCCATTAAAGGAATTCCTTAGCCCCACAAAATATCATAATGGTGGTCATTATAGTGGATGGAAAAAGTGAGAGTTGCTTATTTTTTTAATAGAATTTTGTAATTACAATACTAGAGATAATTTTACAAACTACCCCTAAGGTTTGCATTTTGCAACTCAGGTATATAGCATATTATGGTCTTATGAAAATACGCTGTGTAAGTTCTGCTGATAAATGAATCCATTTAAGAGTTCATTCTGTGTATATCAAGCATGTACATACCATTGGTTGTGATGTTTTTTTTTCTAAGTTTGTTATTATTATTATTTTTTTTTTTTGAAAGTATCTGACAATTTCTCTTGTTATAAGGCACATATTTGTAGGCATCTAAGTCAAGAAGCTCGTGGTTGTGGTCATTTGGTGCTATGGTTGGATTGTGATCGCGAGGGGGAAAATATATGTTTTGAAGGTGAACTTTCTTTAGTTGTTACTTTAGTGTATGTTCCTATACATATGGTACTTACTTGATGCAATAGTCTTTTTACCTTTAAACATCAACTAATGAGAGCATCTGGCCGTCTACGATGTGAGTTTTTTTTTTTTAATTGAAGGGCATTGAGCAGCCTATCGTCTTAAATTTCTTATTTTTTGACTTCTTGTAGAGGAATTATCGATGCATTTTTTTACTTTTAATTGGTAGAGTTCTGGTTCACCTTTTATATATAAATTCTATTTAAATAAATTTTTTTAATGTCTTATCCAAAATAATAATTAAAAAAAAGTGCTTTATTCAGTTCACATGATGTTGAAGGTTCTGCATATATATTTCATCATTATTGATTTATTATTCTGACAAAATACTTGAATTTCCTGGAGGAATTATGTTGGAAAAGGTTTCAAATATCTGAAATTTATTTTTTTGGAACATCCTTACAGAAATGGAGATAAAAGCTGAACGTAATATTTCTACAATCTGTTTGTAAATAGAACTTTTATTAAAAAATATTTAAAAGAGGAAAAAACTTTTTAATTGTGCTTGAAATTTCTAATTCAAGTATCTTGGATTTGAGTAGGAATGTTCGTTTTAGCCAATTTTTTTATATCTAGTAAACTTGCCATGTTTAACATGTTAATTGTGGCCATATTAATCAGTGCGACTTTGATTTTCTTATACATATATTTTGTCTATTATGCTTGATTGGCTACGAAGTCTCTTGGATGCATTATCCTTAAAATTTGGTTTGCTTATATTAGTGTCTTGGCTCAATGTAAATATGTTCTGAGAGTCAGCATTGTTGAGTATATGTAATGGGGCATTTGACTTTCTAGGTACTCTTGCATAGCTTAACAGAGGGTGAAGCAATATTATAATATAATAGCTTAAGCCTCTAGGACGTTTGTGAGAACTTTAAGATTCTCAAAAAAAGTAACATATCCTCCTGATTTCTGTACATAAAGCAAGCAAAGAACTGTGAGATAAGTTTCTAAAGTTGCAACAGGAAACTTTTCTTTATATGAGAAGAATAATGTGTAGTTAGATGATTAATTAATATTGGATGGGAGCCTTGTGTTAGCTCAGAATTGTTAGTTGCTATCCACATACAAACAAGGATAGCCCCCAAAGACTCAAAGAAAAAAAAAAAAAAAAAAAAAAAAGGGGAAAAAGATATGCTAGAATTAAGTTAATGAGGCTTCCCAATTTTTCGAGTAAAGAAAAAGAGACTTCTCCCCTCAACAACTTCAAAAATCTTTCTGCTTCTTTCCATTTATTAAACCCAAAAAATTGCCATAGTAGCACAGTTCCATCACACAATAACCTTCTTATTACCTCCCAAAACTGCAAAGCCTTTTTAAGAAAATCAGGTAACAAGAAGGAGCTGCTGCCTAAGAGAGATTACACTCCTTAAACAACTTATATAGGAAACAATGAAAAAAATAAGTAGTCAACGTTTTTGTGCAAAATACACCAATTTGGAGACACGGACATGAAAGGTTTTCTCCCCTAAACCATATCATTAGTGCTGATTTTAGTGAGTGCAACAGAGCAAACCAATACCTTCACTTTATTTGGAACTTTTGCCTTCCAAATTACTGAAGAAGGGTGAAATGATGAAAGATTTGAAAAGTCAATGAAGGTGTTGAAGAAGGAGATTGTACAAAAGTTGCCAGACTCGTCAAGAAGCCCACCCATCTGTCTTCCGGAATATTATTTTTTACCTTTACCAGCCATCTCCTTGACATTAGGCAGGAACAAGCTATTGCCTTGAGAAATAAATGTCCAAGGACATCTATGAGATTTTGTAAGTACTTCATGAGTTTCCCAAACATTATTGTGCATTCCATACTTCCATTTAATCACTGAATGTTGCAGGAAATTACTTTGTTAATGGAACTTCCGCAGCCCTTTACTGAACAAAGTCTGATAACTTTGAAAAAAATTCCCCACCCCCAATCGGGCTCTATAATAAGGTTGAGACACCATATACCATTTAACTAGGTCATCTCTTTTTCCTGCCCTAATGGCCTTGTAGGAAAAGATGTTTCATAGCCTTTTCTAGCCTCCTGGGTACAAGAATAGGTAACCAGAAGAAGGACATAATATGAGTAGGAAACTTGTCAAAACATATTGATAAGTGTCAACCTTTCTTCTCTAGATAGACAAGCTTTCTTCCACCCATCCAGCCTTCTCTCCGCCTCTCTATATGACTGGGTACCAAAAATTCATACTCTAGTATTTCCTCCCAGAGGTAGTCCTAGGTATTTCATAGGCCAGTCTCTCACTTCACACCCAGTTCAATCTGTAAAATGTACTATTGAGGACCTTTGCATATTGATGCTTGACAAAATACTTTTAATTTACTCTTAAACCAGACAAGGCACAAAATAACTCTTTTAAGAAGATTGAAGAACTTTTCTTTATCAACTGAGTGAAAGAATATAGTATCATCAACAAATTGCAAATGAGTCACTTCTACTTTTTCCTAATCTGTGATCAAACCTCCAAATGAGTCCCTTTTTGTATAGTTTCTTGGAGCTTTTTTATGGCTCTGGACAATATTTCCTTTTTGTGGATAACTTGTCCCTACTTTTATATCTCCTTTTTTTATTAAGAATTAGAAGTAACAGAAATTAAAATTCATAAAATTCTTGTATCTTAGAGCAAACTTATTCTACAGTATTGATCTGTTAACTCTTTGGAGAACAATTTTGTGTGTGGAAGTTTTATTAGTCACCATTATTACTTCTAAGCCTCTTCTATTATTTTTTTTTCTGCAGTCATGCAGAGTACTGGCATTCAATTAAATGATGCTAGAAGAAAGGTTTATCGTGCACGGTTTTCTTCTGTTACTGAGAAAGATATTTTTAAGGCTATGGATAACCTTGTTGAACCTAACAGAAATGAAGCACTGGCTGTTGATGCTCGGCAGGAGATAGATTTGAAAGTTGGTGTTGCATTTACACGATTTCAAACTAGATATTTCCAGGGAAAATATGGGAATCTTGACTCCAGAGTTATCTCGTTGGTTCTCTCTTCTCTCTTATATGTTCTCTTTAGCACTGTAGCTTTGTTTTGTTCTGTGTATGGGGTTCTAAGTGATCTGGGTAAGGCCATGGTTACCACTTTCTAATTAAGATTTACTATGTGGAAAATCAGTTGCCTTTCAGATTCAGATATGACCAGGTATAAGTAGTTGGAACATGAAATCTTGAATGAGGAATTGGAAAAAGAGTGGAGAAAAGTTGCATTATTAGTTTCTTTCCAGATATACATGAATGTTCAGTAAATTATGGCAAAACAAGATAATTGGGAAAACTTGGATTGGGGGTGAGATATTCTGCTTTGCTGTAAGGTTAATTTTGACTAGAACAATACTAATCTTGTGGCTCCCTGATTGACCTGTAAATTGATGAGGTTGGTTGGATACATTCGACAATAAATCTTCCTTAAAGATCATAGAATTGATGAGGTTGACCTCTTTAAAACACTATTCTTTATCCCCCTCAGCCTTAACAGCATCCGCGTAGAAGTTTTAAATTTAAGGGAAACTGTAGAATGGCTAATTTTTCTAAATTTGGATTAAGCCTTTAGAGAATCCATGTCTCTTTTAGACAATCTGATTCTGCTTGAGTTCCAGTTATTAACTTACTAATTTATCTTGTCTAGCAATTCTATACCAACCCAACTGACAGTATAGTTCTATGATTTGTGATTGGCTTTAAAATATCTGTGCTAAATATCTGTGCTAGCTGTTGCACATTTATGATTCTGAAAACAAATCTAGATGCACCTCCATGTAGGCTGAGATTACAAGTAGTTCGGTTTGTTGAATGCTTTGCTGATATCTAGAATTAGCCCTAAATGAATATGCAGAAATTTTGACCTTTGTGAAATTTGTTTGTGCAAATCTTTGAGAAGATGGAATCTCTTGCTGACCTCAATATTTCTACTGATGCTGATGCATTTTTAATGTAGTTTGCTATCATTCTTCTCTGTTATTAGCCTGAAACACCTTTACATTTCACCTGCATTCTTTAAACATCATGGTTATGCTGTTTCTTGTGCTTATATAGATAGCCTTGTAGATATTGTATAATTTTTTTCAGTTTCATGTTAATATGTGAGTTAATTTGAGAAGTTGTTCATCCTTAACAAATGGTTTCTTACTTGCAATTTTTGTAACTATCTGAATGGAAAACCTTTTTGTTTCTCTCAAAGGAATAAAAAAAATCTAATGAACCAAAGTTTGCTGACATCTAGAAGCCACCTAAATAAGCAGCAATTTATCTATTCATGATATGAGCATCTGTCTGTATTATCGTCATTTTGCTTATGGATAATTCATATTTGCTAGTAATACCATGCATAGGCAACTTCTTTTTAGCGTACTGTTTTTCAGGAATTTGTTTGTTATTACTCTTTGAGGGTTCATATATTTACCCATATTTCCATCATGTTCTTTGAATTTTTAATTGCTTTGGATACTGTATATCTGATTCCCATCTGATTGAAGAATATGCAATGTCTAATTCTTTACATTTTAGTTTGATGTATTTACAACAAACATTCCTTACTATTCATGTGTGTGTCATTGTTCTCACCATTATGCCATGCTTATTAATTTCTCATTTCAGCTATGGGCCATGTCAAACTCCCACCCTGGGGTTTTGCGTACAACGATATTTGCAAATTACTTCCTTTAAGCCAGAAAAGTTTTGGGCTTTGCATCCTTACATAATACAGAATGGCTATGAAATTAAGCTAGAATGGGAACGTCACAAGTTGTTTGACTTGGATGTGAGACTTTCTTTCCTTGCTTCTTGCAGTACCATTTCATTGTTAGCTTTACCGTAGAAGATAATGCATATCATGCTTCATGTTACAGGTCGCTATGATGTTTCAAAAGTCGGTCACACAGGATGGAATCTTAGAAGTAATTGATACATCAGAAAAACAGGAAAGCAAAGTTCGTCCTTATGGTCTTAACACTGTGAATCTTCTAAAGGTCAGCAAAAGTGAAGGATGGTTAATACCATTCTTGTTCTAACACATATTATGCTTTGAGATAACATTTACCTGGACACTTTAAAGTGTATCAAGTTTATATGGCAAATGAGATGCATGGGTCTGGGTATTAAAATAAGCGCTTGCCATACCCAAATATTTAGCAATAGTGTCAAACAGGGGAAAAGTGGACAAATTCATAGAGTAGAAGTTATCTATGATACTTTCATTATCTGTTGCACTGATGCATGGATGATTCTTGTGAATGAAATCTTTATGTCAAAATTATTATGGCAACATAATTTATCCAGGTCTAGGACGTATGGAAGAATAGAAAAGGAAAATATCTTTTTCAGCTATTTTCCCATGTGAGCAATACGAGGAAGCATCAATTAGTAGCTACAGTTACTCTCATGGCTTTATTTATAGGACGTATGGGGGGACTATGTTGGTGCTGGCCCACTTTAGTTGAGTTTTGTAAAAGGCCAAATATTTTTGTTGCTCCAGCATCATCGTATAATAGTAGATGAATATGTGTATTCCTTACTGAAAGAGACACATCCTTAGTCAATATGAGTCAAAAACTTCCGCTGGTTTGTCTCCATAGATATAACAAGTCTGCATTCAAAAACAAAAGTAATTAAAGTGCATGAGTTTCCATATCATTACAAAGCAGGTCACCAAGGAAAATTTGTATGAGAAACCTAATCATAGTGCTCAAATTATGAAACATACATCCCTAATGCCATAGTTGTACTGGAATCTGATAAAAAATTTAAAATCATTTAACATACTGCCAGCATCACCTTAATAATTTAAAAATTATGGTTCTTTTGGTCAGTAAGGCCATAGAACCTGTGATATCTATCAAAATGTCCATGGAGGATGAGCATTGACTATATAGGACAGGATCTATTTGTTGAGTTTCAATAAGTTGTTATGATAGATCAAATCTTGGATGAACAAGGAAGAAAGAAATGTTAAATAGCCACTTCATCCAAAAGCTTAAACTATTAGGTAAGGGCTCAACATGAATACTTAAGTCTAACAAATAGAAAATGAATTTATGAGATAAAAGATTGTGTGAAGAGTCAGATTCGTAGATGCTGATGTCATCTATGTGACTATTGTGTATGCTATGTGAGAAATATCAATTCTGCCTCTGAGTTAGAGTACTTAATGAGTTAATTTATGTAATAGTGTTTTTGTTCACTATTAACATTAGTTAACATCTTCTTGCTTTGTCTTAAATGTAAATATTTTTCCATCCTTTCAACATAACTGAAAATAAAACAACTTCTTGTCATCTCTGTGGAGACTGTAATGTGGTCAACCCAAGCCTATTTCCACAAGCGGACTTAAAAACTTTGAGAAGCCTTCTACTGTGGATTTCAACTAATTGAGTGTCATGATTTAGTATTTTAAAAATAGTCTTTTTATCAAAAATACATTCTGGTTATTGAAGTTCGTATTAGTGACTCAACTTAAGGAACATGTGTGTGATGTAAAGTAATATTTCCTGTCTCATAATGTATTTTAATATAGAGGTAGATCTCACTGTTAAAGGTGCCATTTTTGATCTGTGAATGTAATATCTTGAGTTAACTTGAGTAGATTGCCTTAATTCAGCTCAGGATACTTAGGGCTCCTTTGGTTTACTATTATTACCCTATCCTATTCGATTATCCTATCCTAAAAACTCAAATATGCATTTGTTTCAATATTTTCAAATTCCAGTTCTACTTTATTCAACTCTCAAAGCATTAATAATTACCTTTTTCGTAAAAATAACCCAATTTTACTTTTTCTAAAATACTATTCTAAAAAGCATCAGAATAGTGAACCAAGCAGAGTCTTAGCGTTTTAATTCAAGCATTGTGTTCTTAAGTGAATATTTTCACCTGTATATTTTCGATATCTTGAGATGGAGTGCTGCTCAATAATCTTTGTACTATTGTTAGTATAAATTAAAATTGCTTTTTTTTTTTTTAATTTTTTTTTAATTTTATTTTTTAATGACAATATCATTCAGGTTGCTTCAAGTGCATTAGGCTTTGGACCTCAAATGGCTATGCAGCTGGCTGAGCGCTTGTATACTCAAGGTTTCATCAGGTTTTCTCCATATCTTTTTCCATTTTGATTAACCTGCTTGGTCTTTTGCTTTATTTATTTATTTTTGTGATTGTATAAGTATACAATGTGATATCTGCATCTAAATTCTAGACTTGTATTCTCAAGGCTCAATTTGGTTTGATTTCATTGTGTGCTAGTGTGTGAGATGTGTGAAGACTTTTCTTGTATCAATGGACAAATTTGTGTCATGTAGGTGCATTTATTTCTAATTGGGTGTGGTTACAAGGATAGATGTGGTAAAGGTCTATTCTTCTATATCTTCTCCTTGTTCTCCTGCAGAGCAGGGATCAGATATGGAATAACTCAGTAGAGCAAGAATTAGTCAGATACATATTTTTTTTAGTTTTGGTCTTATTTTCAGACCAAAATTATGCTTGACGATGATTATCTTATGAAGCAAGCTGATACCAAATGGTAGGTCCTGGTTATGTTGTTGGGTAGTTCACATATTGAATCCACAATTGGAAATTTGTTGAAAAAGATGGAAGCTTCTGTAGTTCTAAAGGTTCAACTTTGTTGGATTCATTGAGTGCAATGTAAGGTAAGTGAAACTTTGGCGTATCAGTGGAGAAATTTGTCTAGTGTGCATTTGGCTAGTTCACATATGAAATCCGCAAATGGCAATTATTGATGATATGGAAAGTTCTTTACTTCACAAGATTCAACTTCATTGCATTCATGTAATGCTGCTATGTTAGGTGAGTGAAGCTTTTGCTGTATCCGTGGAGAAATTCATCTAAGATGGGTGCATTTCTTGCTGAGCATTTTGGTTTGGGGGGTAGATGTGTTTAATTGGTGCATGCTTCTATACCTTCTCCTTGTTCTCTCACAGGGCCAGGGATCTACTGTTGTGTCTGAGAAACAATGCTTGTACATAAGCTGAATTATATTTGTAGGTTTGTCTCTCTAGAATCATGTTTGTGTAATAATTATTTTTGAGAAGAGAGCTGGTAACATGATGGATGGCCCTGGTCATGTTTACCAGTTCATGTTGTTGGCTTCTGTTGTTGTTGGATGTTTCTGTATTATTGCAGGTCATTTTCTTTTCCTGTTGAACATTGACAGGCATGACATGGGAGGTTTTAGGGCATCAAATGTGGATATTTTGTTGCACAAAAACTGTATAATATAACCTAGGAGATTTAACAGACAAAGAGGCTATTTTTTTGTGCTATAGAAGAATGTTTCACATCTAATTTTTTTGCGTTCTTGGTCAACTTTGACTTCTGGCACATAATATTTTTTTAATTTTCTATTTTATTTTTTGTGTTTGTTTGACAATTTGCAACCATTCAAAAATCATTGCTGAATTGGCCGTTTGAACATTTTTAATTTTTGAAATTACACACACAAGTAGCCTGTGCACCCTTTTATTTTGCTTTTCAATGAAAAAAGTTTTAAAAGTAATCAATTTTGTATTTCCTAAAATTATTGCATCACCTATCTATAATTTCTTAAATTTAGCTGACAAGGTTACTGTAGGTTATTTATATCAGATTATGCATCTAATTTGACATTGTAGGCTTCAAAGTTTAGGCTGTGGTGCTTTTTTCCTGCTCAGGAAAAGTATGATTGATTTGGAATTGAAAACCATATGACAAATTAAGTTGGAGGTTCCTGATCGGACAAATCCTTGAACCTTGAGTAACCTTGTTTTGAAATGACATCTTGGCAATATGTGATCCAATCTGGGAATCTAATCCAAATATATCAGCATTTTGTTTGATCCCTTAATTTTTCATTTTAACTGTCATTTTTCTTTTGTCTCTGTGGAATATAATAATCATTATTGATCTTTATGCCACTCATCTAGCTATCCACGTACAGAAAGTACTTCCTACCCTTCTTCGTTTGATTTTCAAGGCACACTTAGTGCACAAGCAAATAGTCCAGTATGGGGTGATTATGTACGAAGACTCCTTGCTGAAGGTTATCATAAGCCGCGGTCTGGAACAGATGCAGGAGACCATCCCCCTATTACTCCAATGCAGTCAGCAACTGAAGATAATCTTGGCAAAGATGCTTGGAGACTATACCAGTACGTCTGTCAACATTTTCTAGGCAGTGTGTCTCCTGACTGCAAGTATGTAAGGTAAAGGCATTATTCCCTGACTCCAATTTAACAGTTTTAGTGCATTTTGTTTGACAGGAATGGGAATATCATAATGAGTTAAATTACCGCATAATTAATGAGTCAAGCTCATTTCTTAAGGAGAATTATGCTTATTCTCTTTCCTGTAGGATTCAAAATAAAAAAGTATCTTCAGCCATCTCCTCCACTACCCTTGGTGTTGAAATGATATTAGTGCTTCATTAATCTCAACATTAACACCCCTCTCTATCCCTTTCATCTTTTTTCTTATGATCATGATTCCCACTGCCACACCATTTAAAAAGAAAAATAATTGGTGACCACAGCAACTTGCGGTTTTGTCTTAATATATGTAAAAGAGTAAATCTTATAAAATGTTTGGTAATCCTTAAAGTATTAATGAGTAAATTCTGTATAGCCCAATTTGAAATGTTTACTAATTACCATCTTGTGTACATAAAGAGAGAAGATGAGTGTTTTTTTTTTTTTGACGTTTCCATGTTTGGTTATTCCTATTTAGTGGTTAAACTAAATGAAAAAAAAGAATACATAAATCTTCCTCTTATAATGAATTGGCCAAATCATAATAATGGGAGTGGTAACTCTATAAAATGTATGGAGTGAGAATCTCATTCGTGTTCTACCCAATCCATGTCTACAATCAGAGCCTGACATGTTTTATTATTGTGCTGGTGGTTCACTCTTATTGTCTTGTAACGTCTTTTAGCTTTTTATGCTCTATTATGTTCAGACATAACCCTAGTGAGGCCTCATACTCTCTGTTTTCCTCACCATTTGCAATTTATTACAATGCATTTGGTCTTCTTGTTCTTAAGTTCTGTTCTGTAAATTTTTGCTTAGGCTCAAACATGTGCTTTACTTTCTAACATTATGAATTTCCCCCTCAATTATAACTTAGGAAGAAACTCATACAAATACTGTCCTTGATGTTTAGGTGTGCACAATGAGTCGTTCTTTTCTTTGCCAACCAAGACAATATATATTGATTACTGGTGGCAACTATATTTTAGTTGGTTCTTGACTGATATTGTTTGTGGCAGAATTACCATAAAGACTGGGAGGTCATATGCTTTCCCACTTTTAGGCTTGATGAGAAGATGCTTTAGTTAGAGAATCATCATTTGTAGCACAGATTGGCAAAAAGATAATTACTCTTAAAAATATGCAATTATTTCAAGATGTCAGATGATTTCTTTATCATAACTAGAGTGTTGAATCTCTTTCTTCATTTAGAAGTTTTAGTGTCTATTGTTAAGTGCTAATTAATGTATGACTAATTTCCTATCATGCGAGTCCTTTTTATTTATATGCTTATTGAGGAAGTAGGTAAAACAATTCTTTCGATACTCCAAAACTAATTGCATTATATTCATTAAATAATGAAAAATAATAGTCTTGTGCTTTGCATTGAAAGGACAATTTTCTTATATCTAGGTTTAGAATTAAAATATGTGAGAACCATGTTTTATGCCATGAAAAAATGCTAATCAATTTTGAGATAAAGAAATAGAGCAAGCAGAAAATATATACTACTTGCTTGTGACTTCTATATTGTAGCATAGTGTTAACACTTGCTGTCCATTCCAGGAAAAAGGTTAAATTTTCAATGGGTGGAGAATACTTCCATTGTGTAGGGCATCATGTTACAGTCCAAGGATTTACATCAATTATGCCATGGTTAGCAATAAATGAGAAAAATCTTCCTGAGTTTTCTAAAGGAGAGAAAATAGAAGTTTCAAGGGTGGAGCTGAAGGAGGTAGCTTTTTTTGCCACAGTTTGATATTTTTAAATTTTTTAGCTCAGGATTTCTACAATTTTCTCTGTTAAACTAGGAGTTTTTTCCTCCATAAATGGTGGGGAGGGGAAGGTTGACAAGGGCTCTAATGTGCTGCATTTTCCCCCAAAGAAAGGAGAGTGGGCATATGATAGTTGAAATATAATGATATAATTATCAGTATTACCAATGTATTTTTTTCAGTAAGTTACTGATTGATCCTGAGTTCCTGACATTGGCAGGGAAATACTGTAGCACCCGATTATCTCAGTGAGAGTGAGCTTATTTCCTTGATGGAGAAGAATGGAATAGGCACAGATGCATCAATACCTGTGCATATTAACAACATATGTGAGCGTAACTATGTCCAGGTTATAACTGTTAAACATTATTTCCCTACTGTTGGATATTTTTAGTGCATTTATATAGATAATTTACTTTGTTGGTTATGCTTCCAAGATTTTAGTATTCACTTTACATTCAATTCGCAGGTTCAAGCTGGCAGGAAATTGGTTCCTACTGCATTAGGTATCACGCTTGTAAGAGGCTATCAGTGTATTGATCCAGATCTTTGTTTGCCAGACATCCGAAGTTTCATTGAGCAACAGATAACACTTGTTGCTAAGGGTCAGGCAGATCATTCTCGTGTTGTGCAGCATGTGCTACAACAATTTAAGGAGAAGTACAGTTACTTTGTTAAGCAGGTTAAAAATCTTATCATTTGGTCCTTAAGTCTCAACTACTGGGACCTGGGCACACAATAATGCTTTTTGGATAATGTTTCATTGGCCTGCCATTTAGTTTGGCTAAAATAAATGCCACTGGTTTCAAAAGTCACAAGAAACCTCCCTAGTTATTCTGAAAACTCTGATATACCTCTCACTTAAATTCATTAAAAGAATGAGCCCTGCTTTTATATTAAACAAATATAAAGAGAATTCAACCAAATTAGCATCCTATTAGCTTCGATTTATGTGGCTTAAAAGTTTACTATGGATTCGCTGTACCATGTCATCCATTACCCAAATCTGAAAGCATTTCATTTATTTATTATTTTATTTTCTCAAAAATCTTAACTAACATGATTAGCATTTTTTTTTTAAAATTAATTATATATGAATGACGTAGTATACCTGATGTGTGATAGACTCTCCTAGGTGGTTGACAGTACTATTACATTAGAAAATGTGGACATGGATTTGTGAACTATTCATCTTGTCATTTTCCCATTTATTTGAATTAAAATAGGGAGTATATAATATATATATTTTCTTATGTTTGATTGGGAAACAAATGAAAAATCTTAGTTGTTTCTTCATTTTCCTTGGCGTATGTGTTGGATTTCCTTTTCCCTTAAGCATTCCACTCTATATGTTCCGTTCTCAATGTTTCACCATGAGAGCAATATGAAGTAAATCATTTTTAATATGGTATAAGAGCCTTAGATCCCAGTTGCTGCAGAGAGTAACGATCATGAATACTATCTCAATCTTTTGCTAAACTTTAGAATCCATTTCATCACACCTTATACTTCCTGAGAAGAACCAAGTTTCATTCATTGTCTTTTTCTCTTTTAACAAGCCCTAAAAAACAAATAAAAATAAAAACTAATTGTTACTCCAAGTCTCATCCACTACTTGTGGATATTTCTGAAACTTGCTGGAATAGTGTCCAAAATATCTCAAAAGCCACCTATATGTCCATGTCTACCCTTTGTTAAGGTCTTTTTGTCTGCACTGTAAGTCAAGTTCAAGCTTTATTCGTTCAGGGTATTTGCAAAGTTCTGAATGCTATGGACTTAATTAAAAATATTAAAGTGCCAGTCTACAGGATTTCAGTTACTACTAGATCAAGTAAAATTATTCAAGGTTCGTCCTACTCGACATTGTGATTGTTTCATATTCTAGTTTTTACTAATCAATTTGCTTTCCCTGTTTTTGTTGCAGATTGAAAACATGGACGCACTATTTGAAGCACAATTCTCCCCACTTTCTGACTCAGGACGTGTTCTCAGTAAATGCGGTAAATGCCTGCGGTATATGAAGTACATTTCTACCCAACCATCACGGCTTTACTGTGCTACATGTGAGGACGTTTATAATCTCCCTCAAAAGGGTACCATTAAGGTAATATGTTTTGTATCTACAACCTATTCGTGATATTCAATTTGTACCTAGCTCAAGAGAGCTTTTTCCAATTGAAAATATAAGACCTGGTTTCATAGAATGTTAACATAATAATTTTCTATTTGATTACATACTGTCAATCTTATCCTGGCTTTCCTGTCTCGGTGGAATTGGTGGAGATGCTTTTACCTTCATGTGCATATTGTTTTAGAAGTGTTTGTGTCTCTTTTGTTTAACTCCTGGTATATTACTAGTCACAAAGTTGGGCCATATATCTCATCTCTATTGGTAGTGACCTAACCAGATATATTTTAAGCTTAGTTCGACTAAAAAATGTAGTATGTAGCAAATAATTGTTTGATAAAGTTGTATGGATTTAATTACATCGAAGTTTGTAAGTGAAATATTCAGTTAAAATTAGAATTTCCCGTCCAATAAAACGTAAGATAAATTAATTTAAGGGGTGAATCAGTATAGAATTCCAATTTCATGCTTAGAATGTCCTGAAGCAACCTACCTCCAATTCTCATTCTGTTAGTGTATTTTTGAAAATTGCTTTATGAACCTTTGCTGAACATATTTTTCTAATCAAAATACATTCTCAACTAAATGCATTTTCGGATTATAAAACAAACCGATCCTTGTGTTGCGTAATTATTTTATGAAAATGTGAACTATAGTTGCCTTTGTTTGAAATTGTTCTGGTTTTTTAACTTGTTTTTTGTGTCTGACATCAAATCTGTTAATTCAGATCATAAATCTTCAGTCCTATAAGTTAACAGTGGTTACTTTTTTCTAGAAAGAAGGATATGAAATTTCCAAGTGATTTCATAGGGCTTTACGTTCTGCTCTTTTCAAAATTATCTGTCTGGATGACTTTGTTCTTTCTTAGCTTCCTGTGGCTACTAGCAAGCACTCTAGCTCCGAAAGCTAATTAATTTTATGTTTTTTTCACAGCTCTACAAAGAGCTCACATGTCCTTTGGATGGCTTCGAGCTTTTGATTTTCTCCATGGCTGGTCCAGAAGGCAAGTCTTTCCCTCTCTGCCCATTCTGCTACAACAATCCTCCATTTGAAGGTGTAGACACACTCTTTGGTACTACTAAGACCAATATTTCTGGCAAGTTTGGTAAAGAAGCGGGTATGCCATGCTTCCTCTGTCCTCACCCAACATGTCGGCACTCTCTAATAGCTCAAGGAGTTTGCGCTTGCCCGGAATGCAATGGTACTTTGGTTTTAGACCCAGTAAGTGCTCCCAAGTGGAGACTTTATTGCAATATGTGCAATTGCCTTGTCTTCCTCCCTCAAGGTGCACACCGAATTGCCACCACTCGTGATCAATGTCCTGAATGTGATTCCACAATAATAGAAGTGGACTTCAATAAGAAAACAACGCCTTTGGATGATGGCGCTACATTGCATATTGGGTGCATTCTTTGTGATGAGTTGCTTCATTCTCTCATAGAGGTGAAACATGGTAGATCGTTTTTCAAACGTTTAGGTGGTAGGGGAAGAGGAAGAGGTGCAAGGCGAGGCGGATATAAAGGAAGAGGACGAAATACTGGGAAGATGGTGGATCCTAAAATGAGTTTTCGAGACTTTTGAAAGCGTTTAGTCTTTCACCTGTGTATTTGATCTTAAATTGTTTTCAGCGTGCAGTTGATTTTATGAACAAAAATTCTGAAACTATGAACTTGTTCAGCTTTTGAAATTATCTCCTTGGTGGAAACTTTATTGATGTCATAAACAATTGGTGTAAACTTTAGTGAACAAATTTAATTTCAGCAAACGAATTGGTTGGCCGTTGCAGCCAATGCACTTTTTACCTTGAGGAATAGGGAGGGATATTGCCATGCTAGAATATGAAATTGTTAGGTATTTGAACCCCATCAATCTCTTGGGAATCCCATTTTTTAAATAAAATTTAGAGTAATGCTATTGATATCCCTTTTTTTAATCTTTTTGGAACCTAATTTGAAATTTAACTTAGTAAGATTTATAAATAAATATAAACAAACCTCGGCCATTTATAAAATAATCTTTTAATTTCAAATATTATACTTTATCAATTTTTATATCAGGGCTACTCAAAATCCAATCAGATCCAATTAATCCGGTCCAAACCGATCCAATTTTGATCGGTTTTGATGATTTAATTGGATTGGATGAAAAATTTGAAAATCTAATTGGATTTGCTAAGTAAATCCAATCCAATTATATTTATATAACTTTATAAATAAAATAAAAAAGCCTAGGGTCAACTAAGTAAATATCTAAATTTAAATTATAATATTTGACCTAAAAATATTAAGGTTGTATGCTAATCTTTGCCAAAGTAATTAAACCTTTAACTTGGAGGTAAATATTTTAGGGCATGATTATTTTTCATTACGAGTTGCAGACTTGTAGTTGCATCATACCAAGAATTGAATCCCATTCTTTTACTTTCTTTAATCTAAGGCAAGTCTTTGTCTTGTTTTATATTTTCATGGCTCACAAAATAGATTTTTCTTTTCTTTACAATCATTTGGTCTTTATCTACAAAGCGAGTTTGGGTTTTACAATTTTAATATTAGTTTCTTCAAGATGGCTTTTATCCTGTAAAGGTGCTTGGTTAATTATTTTCATTGAAATTTTAGATTAAAATTACATTAAACTATGTGACTATCGTTATAATCAACAACATTATAAAAAACCCAGCACGTATAACTTTCTCAACACGCCTCAGCCTCACTCCAACGGCTCTTTTATACCAGACTCAAAAGTTTTCCTATTCTACTTTCTTCTTTATTCAATCATTCTTATTAAGTTACGCTTTTACACATAAATTCATCAATTTTTCTCTGCTCTTTTCGTTGATTTTATTATCTTTTGATCCCAAGATCTTTCAAACTGAAGTTACTCGATTTTGAAGGGTTTATTTTGTTTTTTAAGTGTTTGTTGTCAAGTGTTCTTTAATGGGTTTGCTTTGTTTCTTTGCTAAAACATTTGTAGTTTATTCTGGGCTTTAGTAATATACTAATAAGTATTCTGTGATGAGTTCGTTGTGTGCTCAGTGGGCAGATATTTGTAATTTATTTTGTTTCATAGTGTTTATTGTTAAAATGTTTTGTAATGGGTTTGGTTTGTGTTCTTTGTTGGGATTCAGAGAGTCACGGATATAGTGTTTTTCGCGGTTGATCTGCACTTTTGGCTACTATGAGTGTGGAGGGGCGAGTTTATGTCTGGAAGATATGTGAAGGTCCAGATGAACAAGATAAGCCACAAATTACAAGCTTTTTGATAATAATCAAAGCCTATTGTGTTCTTTAAACATGCAAGATTATTCATTGAAGATTCAAGAAGCCATAGCCTTACAAGGAGGACAACGTTCGGCCCAAGTACTTAAGAAGGCTCACAAACTTGTCCAAGATATGTTAAAAGTCCAAGATATAGCATAAGCCCTTTTGTGTAACCCAATCCGTGGAGATCAAGAGGGGAGAAACTTAATTGATCCAAGCCCAATGTGTGGATGCTATTTGATTCAATTTGGGTGAAGGAAATTAAGTAAAATACAATTAGGGACATAAATCCTTAATTTAAGGAGTGGTTGTCCTTTGCATTAAATGGGTATAATTTGCATTTTGTAATTGAATGGTGAAAAATTAGTCCTTAATATTTTTGTGTAAGGTTTTGTAATATTTATTAAGACATTTCTCAACTTTTGTAAGGCTTATATAAAAGCCACTCTTTCATAATATGAATTAGAAAATGAATATTGAATGAATAGTATTCTCATGGAGAATTGTGTTTATCTTCTTTGAATTCCTTTACCCAAGTTTCGGCCAAGCTCGGTGGTAGATTGATTTTCAAGTCAGTGGAGTTCCTTTAAGCTTGAATGATCCTTGGCAATCTATCTTGTAAGTTATTCCCATTTGGTTACCATTCATCTCACTTTTCGGGTTTGGCTTGTTTTGTTGTGTTACAAATTTGTATTGTACATTTCAAGTGGAATGAGTTTGTGTTCATTGAGGCTAGATAAAAGGTGTTGTTCTAAAGTGTTATAAAGTGTTCTGAATCTTTGGTTGTTTTGCATTTTCAAATGTTTTTGGGTTTTCTGCTTTTTAAATATTTTTTTTTTTGGTAAGTAAGCTTTTATAGAAAGGGAAATAATGTATAAAATGCCTAAAAGTCGGCCAACCTACCTCAGGACAAGCCCTGGGTTAGAAGTAAAGGAATGATACTATCTAAGTCTACCCCTAATCTTCTCTTTTTCCCATTCTTCTTGTCAAAGGAATGGAACCAAGTGGAGATTAAAGATTACAATGAATCCCACCTACCACAAGACATGCCCTAGGTTAGGTTCAAAAGTATCAGAATACAAAACCCATATGCATAAGCATTAACAAGAAGAATTCCATAAACATGGACATTAACAAGGTAAGGCCCGATAATGACACAAAGACAAAATACTAGATCAACACCCCAAGTCTTCCAATTGTCAAAGTAGCCTCTTCTAGCACAATCACCCGTCAGGATGTCATATAACCAAATCCCCATACACGACAAAAAACCCATCACATAACAACTAACCATATAATTAGCTCCCTTGGGATGTTTTAAAAATAGACATGGGGAGACCCCATTTCTTGGCAAGTCTTCTATTGTAGGTATACTTTATGATCTTGCCAAAGTCCATAGGTCTCTCCCTCACCACATTCTTGATGGAGTTGTAGACAGTATGTGCATCCTTGCATTCCTCACCAAAAATCCGGCTATTCCTCTCTCTCCAAATAGAGTAAACGGTGGCTCCCAGACTTAGCTTCCCTATAGAGTACTTTAGCTTATTCTTTCTCCACCTACTAGCTATGTGCTCAACATAATCGTTCCAAGGCTGGGTGACATACCCAAGAGAAGAGAGCTCAAGGATTTGGTTCCAAATCCTTTGGGTGAAAGGACAAGCAAAAAAGAGATGATCAATCGTTTCTTGCCCATGATTACAAAAACAACACAAATTGCTAGAAGCTATTCCATACCTCGTCATGTTGTCCTTGGTTTGAAGCCGATCCTTACATGCCATTCACGTGATCATGGAGTGTCGTGGAATAGCTTTTGGGAACCATACAAGGTGATGCCACTCCACTCGATGATGGTGCACACGAGTAACCTCCCAAGCCGATTTTAAAGAGAACTTATCGGATGCATTAGGCTTCCAAACAACCATGTCCTCACCCTCATTTGGATCAAAGTCGATAGAATCCTTCATGTCCATCAAAGCCCAAGAATTAGCTGTTGGCCATCTCCACCTTCTCCCATCCCAAATCTCACACATCTTAGCAAAATGATATAGCCCCGAATCATACACAATGCGGATGTCATATCTATCCTTGAGAAGGCCTCTTGGGTTCCAATTATCGTGCCAAACATAAGTGATATGAACTCCACCAATAATTGTGATGAAACCCGATAACAATGATGGTTTGGAACCCCAAGATCGTGTAGACAAGATTTGTTGAGCCTTGACCCATCACCTAACTAGATGAAAACCAAGACTACGAAGGATTGAAATGCCACACCAAGAAACCTAAGAATCTCTCAAGAATCAAGGTGATAAGTTTGGTTGTTTGAACGCCACAAGATTAACTTGATAAGTTCAAGAGTTCTTTCAGAACGGAGAGGAGCACAAGACCTCACAATGATAATAATTTTCTGAAAACCAAATTTGTCCATTAAAATTCGTAATGCCCATCTATATACTTGAAACAACCCTCCAAGAATAGGAAAAGTCATAATTACAACTTTAAAAGCAACACAAACATCAACATAAACAAGTCCCCACGTTTTTAGGCCTCTTGGACTTCTAGAGGCAACCGAAAAATAACTAAATGACTAAATTCAATGTATTTAACATAACTAGCCAAGACCATCGGCATTCCCCTATTTAATATCCTTGAAACTCAACAAATTCACGCCCTTTAATGGTCAGACCATGCTGGTCACGTTTTTGCATGCTAATTAGCCTCTTCAATTGCTTTGATGACATGGACTAAGCCTTGATTATTATTTGGGCCCATCTTGATCTTTTTAGAATCAGCCCAATTCTCTTGGATTAGCCCATTTAGTGCTTCCTTGAAACGTTTGGCTCTAAGTCTTGTAATTGGGCCGCTAGGAAGTGACAAAGGGTCTTGTGCAAGTTTAGCTCCATTCCCATGTGTATGATCACCTTGTCCATCTCCTTGGTCTGCATCATTCTCCCCCTCTTGAGAAGGATTTGTCCTCAAATCATCACCTACATCAAAAGGAGACAAATCAGCAACATTAAAGCTTGCATTGACACCATACTCACCTGGTAAGTCAAGCTTGTAGGCATTATCATTGATGCGTTCCACTACTTGAAATGGTCCGTCACCCCAAGGTAGGAGTTTTGAACGCCGTTTCTCCAAAAAAACGGTATTTCCTTAAGTGCAACCAAACCAATCTCCTGGTTCAAACACCACCTTCTTGCGTCCTTGTTGGCTTGATAGACATATTGTTTAGTCCTCCTTTCAATGTTCAGCCTTGCCTTTTCATGAATCATCTTTACAAATTCTGCTTTCTTTTTGCCATCTAAGTTCACACGTTCACTCAAAGGTAAAGAAGTTAAATCCAAAGGTGACAATGGATTAGAGCTATAAACAATTTCAAATGGTGAAAACTTAGATGCAGAATGTATACTTCTATTGTAAGCAAATTCAACATGTGGCAAACAATCTTCTC